GAATGCAACAAGGCTTTCTGAAATTCCATTCCTAAAGGAGTAAAAAAGACTGATAAAATTTGTTTAGAGACCGAGACTGGCGGGGGAGTACAGATTTGGAATTTGAAAGAAATTCCTTGAGTAGTAAAGGGGTGCACTTCTAAGGAGGACTTGTTTGAAAGTTCATCCTCAAAAAGGATGAAAAGGGGTTGTAAAGTTTGTGTGGAGAAACCTAAACCGGTGGACCAGACGTAATCTAAACTGGTGGACCTCAAGGTTTAAAATTTGAAGTGCTCCAGGAGTGCAGTAAGGCTTTCTGAAATTCCATTCCTAAATGAGTAAAAAGGGATGATAGAAATGGTACGGAGACACCGAAACTGGTGGGTTTAAAGACTTGAAATTTGAAAGAATATTCCTTGAATACTGTAGGAGTACTCTAAAAAGGTATTTTTTGAAATTGCATCCTTAAAGGTATAAAAACGAGTGGTAAAATTTCTATGGAGGAACCAAAACCGGTGGACCTAAACGTTTCAAATTTAGAAGGAGTATTTCTTGAGTGGGCTAGGAGGGCAGTCAGATTTTTTGAAAGTGCATTCCTTAAGGATTAAAAAGGAATAATAAAATTTGAATGGAGAGACTGAAATTGGTGAACCGAGAGATTTGAAATCTGAAACAAATATTCCTTGAGTGCTCTAGGGGTACACTAAAAAGGAATTTTTTGAATTAAGGTTCGAAAAGGAGTGGTAAAACTAGCATGGAAAAATCTAAATCAGTAGGCCTAAGGGTTTGAAATAAGAAGGAAATATTCCTTGAGTAGGTACTCTAGGAGTGTAAAATTTGGAGGAAATATTTTTTGAGTAGGTACTATAGGGGTGCACTAAGGTTTTTTGAAATTTCGTCCCTAAAGAGATAAAAAGGATATGTAAAGTATTACAATTGGATTCCTCGCATTATTTTAACTTATTACATAGTATTTTAACAAATGCAAACAAATCTTGAATTGAAATTAAAACAATGTGTTGATTTTGTCCAAGGTTGACTTTAAAATCTCGGAAATTATGCATTTCAGACGGTTATAAAATCCGCTTAATAATATAGTCGCTAAGGTCGAGTCCATACATCGTACTTGAACTTCTCAAGCATTTCCAAACACTTGTGCATAATTTACAAAACTATCGACAAAATAACGACCGGCTTTTATACATATATATAATACATAGTGTGCAATTGGATAAGTGCATAGAAAAAAACCGATGACATTAAACCTTGTCAGTTCCTATTCGACAGAATATGTAAATAATGCATAGCATCTTCGTGTTTGAATGCCAGTTTATTGATTTATAAAAGCCTGTAACATTTTTTTTTTATTGTTTGTTAAATTAATATAGACGATGTCTGAAATAAGAAATTTAAGAACAGTAATCGATATAAATAGATTAACAAGGTTTATAATATAATTAAAAGGAATTTCAGAAAAATTGGACACAACAGGTGCAGATGGGATATAGGGGGAAATTTGCAGTTATAGAACTAGGACTGCAACGTAGAGAAGTAAATATTAGGAAGGAAGTCAGCATGGACGAGTTAGAGAGAGCTTTAAATCAAATGGAAGCGGTATTGACAAAACAGTACTGCATGAAAATAAATAAAAGTAAAACTAAAATACTGTTATGCAAGGGAAGAAAAAGTAGGGAAAGAGAGAATGTAAAGATAGGAGACGAAAAATTAGAAGAAGTGACTGATTTTAGGTATCTAGGAAGTCAGGATCTAAGGAGTAGCAGGGACATAAAGCAGAGGATAACGCAGGGTCGAGTTGCCTTTAATAAAAAGAAGTCACTTCTATGTTTGCGAACGGTTAGTTTAGAAATTCGAAAAAGGTTGTTAAATGTGTATGTTTGGAGGGAGGCGCTGTACGGGTGCGAAACATGGACAGTAGGCGCGGCGGAAAAAAAAGGTTAGAAGCGTTCGAAATGTGGTGTTACATGCGAATAATGAGGATACCGTGGATAGAGAAGGTTAGAAATGAAAAGGTATTAGAAAGTACAGGAGAACAGAGGACTTTATAGATGTCAATAAGAAATAGGCGAGATAGGTTAGTAGGACACCTTGTCAGGCATGAAGGTCTAGTCAGAGACATATTAGATGCAAAAACGGGAGTTAATAGTTAAGGTTGTAGGTTGTTCTAGTTTTAGGGAAATGGGAAGATTAGGTCAGAATAGGAAAGAGTGGAGGTGCGTGTTCAGCCAGTCTTAGGACTGACGACCTTATGATGATGAGGGCACCACAGTAATAATATAAGGAAGGAGTCAGGAGTGACTCTAGAGGCAGAAAATGGAGAAATGACAGAACGGTGGAATGAATATTTAAGAAATCTATTACACGCAGGACAAGAGTTAGAAATGTATTAGAAAAACTAGGCAGGGTGGAGATAGATGAATTCTGATACCCCACACTGACAAAGTTAGAGTTACCATCAAAAACTTTAACGAAAAGTAAGGCACTAGGTGTATAGATGGGATATAGGCGGAATTATTAAAGCATGCAGGTTCGAAGTTCAGAGATTATTTATTTATTTAAACTAATTAGTGATATTTATAAGACTCCACTTACAAAAAGTACTGTATAGTGAAGCAATTTATTTACCGAACCGTGATGTATCATGAATTTTATTGGCAAGTGTATTTTTTTTTTAAAAGAAGAAAATTCATCAATCATTAAAAATATATTTTTCTGTACAATAATTAAAATTTTTATGGAATGACAACTCAAGAAAATAAAAAGTAACATTAAATAACCAACTATATTTACAATGATCCAGAAGTTTGTTCATCACAAAAGTATGTTAATTAGCAACGTAAACAGTTCAACTAACGATTTAACAAAAAATAAACGTTTTTTGAATTTGTCTTAAGCCGCTTTATTATCTTGTCACTCTGCTAATTTAAAGACTTGTTTTCTTATATTTTTTTGATGTTTTTGACTTTATAGACAGGCACGTGTGTTATACAAAGGCTTAATTTTTTTCCAATTAAAACCTTGACTAAACTTTTGAAGTTTTCAACCAGCATAAAGACAATAGAGAAAAAAAACGGACAGACAGGCGCACGGGTGAGGACCTCTCCGTTTTTCCCTTACCCGAAAACCAACTTAATATTAAAGTTAAAAAAAAACATGTTCTCCCATACATTCAAACTGTAAAAGTAAATTTATACGCACAATACTATTCTGTTGAAAGATTGACCACGTTATGTTCAGACCATAGACTTCTTAATAATTTTCCTGTGATGTTTAAGTAAAGAATTCAAAATTTTAGGTTCAGTAGTTTCGGAGATAAAGGGGGGATGATCAATTTTCATCTATTTTCTTAAATAACTTTAGAACTATTTATTTT